CGCGAAGGAACACCGGCTCGTGTGTCACTGAAATTATTCGTCATCAAATGGCAATGAATCAAAGATTTATTCAGAGTCTTAGAATTGAAATGCCTCAAAAAATGCATCAAACCGTGCCTTAAAAAAGCAGGTATTTCAGAGTTCCGATATCGGCTCATGTTAATTGGGAGGTCAGGTGAAGCAAGAAGTCAAATGACAGGCAACAGAAGTAAAAATTAAATTGGACTGTTATTCTCGTATTCATATCTTATCTCTCACTGGTCGAACAGTCTTCGGCATCACCACATTTTGCGAAGGATTTAAAATTCGAAAACATGTTTCAATTTGAAGGTGTTGTGCATTCATCGAAATTTAATCCAAGTCTAAGTTATGCACTGCAATTTTGAAAAAAAACTATTCGATAGCATTTCAGACAAGTTTTTGAACATTCATTATATAACGATAGATAGCAATAAAAAAACCTATTCATGCTATTCTCCCTCTTTCAAAGCACAGAAAGTTCATATAACGAAGCGTTAACGAGTTCCGGAATATAATATTATTTTAACTAAATGGCAAATATCCTATCAATAAAGTTCGAGTCTTTCAGTCCACGTCGAGGTTGCCACCTCAGGAACTAATGCACCGAACCTACAAATTAAAGCCAGATGATTCCTTCGAGTTCGGGTGGGAGGAAGCTGTCAATTGGTCGAATCAATATTGAACAGCGGCGCTTCAAAGGCCGCCATCAATCTACTTTGCTGGGCAACTGGAGAATTAATCAGATCACGCACCGTCATCAGTTTAATTAAATGGCACCGTCATCAGATCAGTCAGGTCACACCGTCGGAGATGGCGGTAATATGAATCCGTAAACCCGCGGTTAAAAACGTGGCCTGCTTGAATGTACGTTAATAAAATAGGCTGACGATTAATGACCGGCAGAACAAAGGATTAGACAAAAGCTTCATGTGAGCGGATGACAGCAGGAGTGTCCGTCCAAAACTACGTTATGTCCATTACCCAGATGTACTTGACATGTCAACTGGATAAACCAAGTGACATATAAATTTTGTAGGGTTGGGAAGACACTTTCATTTTATATCAATACGTATTGTATTCAACGCTCACTGGTCATTCATTTTCTTATCGAAATTACTCCTGCATCAATTCGATTATATAAATGATAATATTTTAATTCATTTACTCAAACGCAGAGTAAAATGCGCTCATTCCGATCATTTAAATTCAGTGTTATTCGTTATTTAAAGCTCAATTGGAGCACATTTAAGTACAATACAATAAATAAAATATAAAGCTCAATTTGGGCGCATCAATTTGAGATCTTTAGAACTTTGTAGTATTAACAGCTCGAACATGCAAAAATTTTCGGTTACCCTGTCAAGCCTTAGTTTCACGTTATCAAAATTTCATTCAGCCTTAACTTGGTTACTGAAGTAAATTGAAATTTCAGGAGCTTGACCAAATGAAGGTCAGTCTCCTTTATTTTGGTCAAGCCCCTTTATTTGGGAGCTCCAAGAAATTCGATGTCTTATTAAATTAAACTCGAAGCCCCGCAATAGCCCAGCTGATGCTCTCAAAACAACGCTTGGCCCCAGCAACCGAGTTTTCAATTGTTTACGATCGAAATGAGACTAGCATGAAAATAACAAGGATTTCTGTTCACGCAATAAATTAACTTTAATGCAGACACTTTTCATGCTATAACTACCTTCCAACATTAAATTAACGCATTGACTGGAATTTAAGTCAACTATTTGTTCTCTGATTGTGCAATTAAAACTCAAGATTATAGATGAATCCGACGAAAATGAGTGAAATGAGAGAAAAAGGAAATGTGCTATTTTAAGCTAATTAAATAACCAATTCAAAAATGTTAAAAACGGTCAAAAAGTATAAATGATACAAATGACCCGATTTCTAAATTACATAACAGATGAAAAAACGAAAAAAATACGAAAATCTTTAAAGAGGGCAATCAATTCAAAATTTTTTCTTCTCAACAACGTAAACAATGTTCCAATTAGTCCATCAAAATTCTGATATCAAATTTTAGCAGATCAAATTTAGTCTTTCTGACTAAATTGAATGCAAAATTTTTATGGGTAATTATTATTTGCCGTTCGTCTATTACTTTTTTTTAAAGCATGGAAGAAGCATTGATCGAGTACATAATCGGTAGTGAAAATTTAGCTGAAACAAACATTTTGGCTTAAAGGGAGAACCAAAGTTGGATAAGACATTAGTTTGTGATAACATGTCACACAAAATGTGGTCCTATAGTTAAAAATATAGTAGGATGTCGAGTAGCAGTTTAACGCACTTGTTGTAATGACCAAAAAAATCATATAACCGCAGGAAAAGCTTCGCCAATTACGAATAATCAAAGCTAATGAAATTAACGAATTAAATTCATTCAAAGTTAAAAATTAAACCAACAAAATATGAACATTAAAATCAAGCCGAATGAACTACTTTACTTTTCAATTGAAATCTATTGGTTTCCTTAATTTCCAAATGAGCGCGAATAGATTACATTAAAATTAAAACAAAATAAAATTTTATCTCATCAGTCTCTTGTTTTATTCTGTCACGGTAAGTACAAAATTAAAATTCTTGCTTACAAACTTTTCATGATGAAAGTCATTATTTTTTAGCGCATTTTCTCATTTATGGAAAAAATGCACTATTGTGCTCGCCATGTCCGTCTGTCTGTCTGTCCGTCCGTCCGTCCGTGACCTCAAGTTTTCGTCGAAGAGAAAATGCGCTCTCTGTCACTCACTGCAGTGAGTACTGAGTTACATTTTTCCTGATTATGCCAGTGTCCGGGGTGGTAATACAGAGTTAAGATGCAGAGTTATAAGCTACGGCATCGACCGTAAGGTCGGAGAACTCTACCGACGCTAGACCTTTTATAGGCTTCGCTTCCGCCCACTACTGAGGTCTTGATCGCGTGATCCATCACGTGTCTATCAGATGTTGACTCGTCCTCAATATCTATCGAGTATCAATCTATCAATATCAATCTATCTATCAACATATCGCTCTCTATAATGAATTTAATGGCTTTAGCTAACAATAATTCAAAACAAAAATTGTCAATTTAACCTGTGATTTTCTCTCATTTATTGATAATAACCAAATTCTGCATAAACGTTCAATCGATTCGCAGCAAAATCTAGAAATTGTTTTTTTTTCTCCCGTTACATCCAATTTATTTACTTTTATACAGTAATTTTTTCGCACATTAACGCATCGTAACTATCATTGCTGACGAAAATCTTTTGCATGGATTCAATGAGGTTCATCCAACTCTATAAAATTATTCGAAGCTGGTATTCTGTTTTTTAAAATGAATTGAATAGGCCGACAGCAAATGTAGACTCTTTTCAACCCGTGCTCAATTATCGACTAGGAGCAGCAACTCAACTTATTCGTCAATATAATGACTATCACATTGACATTGAGTTGAATTTAAAACGTTTTTCTTAAAGTTAATATAAGGTGGAAGCTCACTGCCTCCAGAAAAATTATTCGTCTCAAATACCTTTTAGAAATTTAGAACTTTTCGTTGCAACGTCAAAAAATGACGCGCAGGATCACAAAATGTTAATTATAAGGATGACATTTTCAATTATCTCAATTTCGGTGGAAGTAAATCCTCAAAGAACCACTCACCAAAGACGTGCAGACTCACCTAAATATTGATCCTGTAGCAGACAAATAGGTTAGGTTAGGTTAGGTTATTAACTCGTCATATAGGGGTAAACAAATATTCAAAGAAATACTTATATCGCTCTCTATAATGAATTTAATGGCTTTAGCTAACAATAATTCAAAACAAAAATTGTCAATTTAACCTGTGATTTTCTCTCATTTATTGATAATAACCAAATTCTGCATAAACGTTCAATCGATTCGCAGCAAAATCTAGAAATTGTTTTTTTTTTTCTCCCGTTACATCCAATTTATTTACTTTTATACAGTAATTTTTTCGCACATTAACGCATCGTAACTATCATTGCTGACGAAAATCTTTTGCATGGATTCAATGAGGTTCATCCAACTCTATAAAATTATTCGAAGCTGGTATTCTGTTTTTTAAAATGAATTGAATAGGCCGACAGCAAATGTAGACTCTTTTCAACCCGTGCTCAATTATCGACTAGGAGCAGCAACTCAACTTATTCGTCAATATAATGACTATCACATTGACATTGAGTTGAATTTAAAACGTTTTTCTTAAAGTTAATATAAGGTGGAAGCTCACTGCCTCCAGAAAAATTATTCGTCTCAAATACCTTTTAGAAATTTAGAACTTTTCGTTGCAACGTCAAAAAATGACGCGCAGGATCACAAAATGTTAATTATAAGGATGACATTTTCAATTATCTCAATTTCGGTGGAAGTAAATCCTCAAAGAACCACTCACCAAAGACGTGCAGACTCACCTAAATATTGATCCTGTAGCAGACAAATAGGTTAGGTTAGGTTAGGTTATTAACTCGTCATATAGGGGTAAACAAATATTCAAAGAAATACTCACCAATGACATGCAGAATCACTATAATATTGATCCTGATGCAGACCATTAGGTTTAATCCCCCTATTGTGGTCAGTGAAAACTCTTAAATCAGCTCACTGATTACATGCAGCATAACTTGAACATTAATCACCATTTAGAGGTCACCAAATACCCGAAGAAATATTCAACAATGAAGTGCAGACTCACAATAATATTGATCCGAAGGAAGACCATTATGTTTAACCCCCTATTGTGGTCACTGAAAACTCTAAAAACAGCTCACCGATGACATGCAGCATAACTTGAGCATTAATCACCATTTAGAGGTCACCAATTACTCGAAGAAATATTCAACAATGACTTGCAGAAACACTAGAATATAATGGTCTTAGTCTTAGTCTTCTAATGGTCTTAAAAAAGACCATTAGGTTTAATCCACCTATTGTGGACAGTGAATACTCTTAAATCAGCTCACCGATGACATGCAGCATAACTTGAGCATTCCTCGTCGGGCTGGCCTTCATGTCGACACGGCATCTGTACAGCGCAGAGTCAGAGAGCTGCACTCTGTGCAGGTGAAGCTCGCCTGTCTTGACGATGCGTCGCCTCTTGTCACTTTTTAAAAGCTTTCGTTGGTAAGCCGTGGACGGTGCGTAGCTGGCATTACTTAGCGTGGGCAGTGATGGAACTTTGTGCAAACTTGACTGAGGGTTCACGAATGTTTCATCCGCCCTGTGTTGTATGTTAGATTGGACGTTTGCGTCAGTTTGTTGTACGTTCATCTGAGTGTTGTACGAACTCAATTGCGCATTAGATTCGGTTTTTAAGTGGCTGTATGTCAAAGGAATGTTTTGATTCCGAGTGTGGGGAAGGTGCGGAACCTCCTGATCTCCTCTCGTGATGGGATTATCCTGTTGGTAGTCGAGATCAGCATGCTGAATGTCACCGTCTTGGGATAAATATACTTTCACACTGTCGTCCAAGGAAACTTTATATGAATCGCTAAAGTTCTTCGCAATTTGATGATGGCGATTTTCAGCTAGAAAGTCCTGAAACTTATATTTATCCTCCTGCCTTCTGGGCAACGGAGCATTACTAGGATTTTTAATAAAACTTTTTCCATCTGAACGCAAATGCTCAGAATTATGCAAAAACGTGGAGGCTAATTTTGTGCTTCGATTTTTGGGAATGAGATTACTGTTTCTAGCCACGAATAAGTTTTCTTCGGTACCATCAAGCTTATCAGGCCCGACAGTTTCTAATTCATTTGTTTTTACAAGTAAATTGGCATCCTGGAAATCTGGCTGAAATTCCACCAACTTTTTACTCATGTTCACAAGAAAATTACAAGGAAAAACAGGCAAAAGTCTATTTAAATTTTCTCCCTTGTAGATAACTTCAAGATCATCTTTCGCAAACTTGTCGCTCTCGATTGGCTTCAAATTTTCCTGTTCGCTTGCTTTCTGATGCAGGCTTTCAAAGATGTCAGGTCTGTTTTTCATCAAATCATCACGCTGATTTTCACTCTCCCGTGAGCTACCATCACTGGCAATTTTCGCAGCTACCAGAGCTCGACCTGAATCCTCTAACTCTAATGGGTAGTCTGTTGTTCCCACGAAATCCTTCATAACTTTCCTAATATCCGACCTCAATGGTCGAACTTCAGCGTCATTTATTACTTGTGATGAAGGGTCTGACTTGTGAGAAAATTGTGTCCTAGTGGTGTAGGCTCGGCGCTGAAGGGATTCAGAAACAATGTTGTTGCCCATAATATCCGCTCGCTTCAATCTCATTGCGTCATTTGAGACAGGCACAGAAGTCTTTATGGCACTAGAATTAGTTTTCAGAGAAGAGAAAGACGGATAAAATGAACGAGGATCATGAAAATCAGTGTGGGAAGTTTCGATGATTGTGTGTGCAAAGGCCGAAAGTGACTTCGGAACGTTGTGCTTAAAAACGAACGACGTATTTGTAACTGTAGGCTTTAACGCAACTTCCGAAGCTGCGTTCATTGTGCGTGACGGTGACCGTTTATCTTGAGATTGATCCGGGCGATCACGATTAACAAAAGAGGCCTGATAATTGGAATCCAATTCACCATCAATTGGAAATTTTGAGAGGCTCGCTTCAGAAAACTTTCTCTTCCTGTGATGGATTCGATTGAAACAAAAACCCGGATGATGGATCGTATCTGATTGAAGTTTTGTTTGGCCACTCACAGTCCCGGCCACTCTTCTAGGGTTCGGAAACCAAGTGTTCTTTTTCTGTCTAAATGAACTCGTTACATTCAGGCGAGGAAAAATAGGATGTGTGTCGATGGGACGTTTTTTCGTAGGAAATAGGTAGTTGAGTGCCACCGAACTTCCTGCTCTTGAAATGCAGGACTTCCTGTTGAAATTACAATTGTGTAGGTCGAGCTTTTGGTCATATATTTTTCCAACTTTAAGATTGCTACGCTGTATCTCGTTTGTGGTATCGTCATCGTTAAAGTCGCCTAACGAAGAGTAAGAAAATTTGCTGGTCATTCTGTCAGCGTCAGTGAATGTGGTTTTTATTTCGTCGATTGTAATTCGATCGAATTCATTCTTTTCTATAAGCTTCTTCACATTTCTACTCATGAAACCTGTTTGCAGCGAAGTCGGATTTTCTTCATTCCATTCGAATTTCTCCGTCTTCATTTTAATTCTTTGGCTATTTTTTTCGCTAAGAGGTGAACTTGAGGCTGCTTCAAAACTGCGCCTTCTCCTACGCCTCTTCATCTTCTCGGCAGCTTCACTTCCTTCAAGCTCCATTTGAGGCGTCTCGAAGGCGGCATTTTGATCCGAGTCATCAGGCGTTCCAGACCCGTGGGCCGGGTCAGCCTTTCCATTCTGTGGATCATTTTCATTTTGCGTCTGTGGACGTTGATCGTTCCAGCGAATTTCTTCGAGCTTGTTCCTCGGAAGAGGCGAATTTTTCTGCAACGCTGTCGAAAGAATTCGCCGACTACCTCGTTTGGTGCCACTTTCGACCCAGGATATCCGATTTAGAATATTCGGAGCAGCCCAAGTTATTCCAGGAGGCGTCGACACCACACGCCTGTCCACGCTGTCGCATAAAAAATAGAAAATGTAAGTATTTTGCTAACGGAAATGATCCGCATTTCCAAACCGGCACAAATAGCGACAATTATGTTTAAACTAAATGACCTCAGGCGAAGCGAGTTGATTAAAAATTCTGGAGTGTGTTATGTGATCAGGCTGCAAAAAATATGTTATTATGTTGAATGCACATAAGTATTTCTCAGTCAAAATTATATAATAAAATGCCCAAAAACTCATACACACGCATTTGAATCATTAGATCGCTCAAATTGCAAACAATCCATGAATACAATAGGAATGTAAATGTCAATTAAGTAAATTCAATATAAGTTATGTGATAACGTTTTCGGAGACCAGCCCCGTCGTAAGTTCAAAACCTCAAGAATGCAAAACTATTTAACAGAATAATAAAAATTTACGCAGAGAAGATTTCAATTTTAATAGCACGACAAGCGGTAAAAGTACCTAATATTAAAGCCAATCGGCTAAGAACTTAACAATTCCAAGCGGCTAAGAACTTTCAGTTTTGGCAAGATAAGGTTTTCGTAGAAAAATATGCCACAATTCGAAGGTCTTTAAATCTGAAGCAAAATAGGTGGAGCCAAAAATCTTTAAATCGCTCATCTATGTCTATGTATGTTAACTTCTATGAATAAGGTAGTGGTATAATTAGTTGTATTCATAAATTTTTGTTTCAGCACTCTTCTCCAATTACACTATTATGAGGTTGATTGCAACTAAATAAATGAGCGGTTTTGATATAAAAAATAATGATAATTTTTTAATGATCAGCACTAAAAAATGGGACTCTCTGTATTATAAAGAATTTCTTAAACGAACGGCGGCAGGACGCAGCGATTATAATGCTTGAAGTGCAATAGTAAACAGCAACAGAAACGAAAGAAGGTTAGATAAAAAAAATATAACTCAGTACTAACTGCAGTGAGTTACAGAGAGCGCATTTTCTCGTCGACGAAAACTTGAGGTCACGGACGGACAGACAGACAGACAGAGGGACATGGCGGGCACAATAGTGCATTTTTTTCATAAATGAGAAAATGCGCTAAAAATTAATAAACAAAGCTATTATGTTAATTTACACTATACACTTCGATGCGCTCGTTCAATTAAAGAGTGTGTCACAGCCCAAGAGATGTAAATGCGGTATTTTGAAACTTGTACCGAATCTCGATCACTAAGTTCATGTTTTGATGAATTTCAATGCATTGATTCGTTATCAATGTAAATATACCTGAAGATCGGAGTCTTGGTGCCATTGCGATACCACAGCACGAGTACCACAATGTCGTCGGGTGGGGCGCTCACATCACATGGTAGCTTGGCAGTGGTACCTCTCACTGCGTACACCGACGTCAGCAACACTGAAATGGTGAAAAATATAACTCAGTACTCACTGCAATGAGTGGTAGAGAGAGCATTTTCTCGTCGACGAATGAGTGACAGAGAGCGCATTTTCTCGTCGACTAAAACGTGAAGTCACGGACGGGCAGACAGACGGACGGACGGACGGACGGATGGACGAACGGACGGACAGACGGACATGGCGAGCACAATAGCGCCTTTTTTCATAATTGAGAAAATGCGCTAAAAAGGTTATATCATCATTAAATCATATCCAAATATAGTTGTATAAGAATATTAATCATTATCCTAATCTTTTTAGCAAACCTTGTAATAAGCAGCATGAACTGATGATATGACGCAGGGGCTAGCACCTGAGAACTTTTGAAAAAATTCAATCTTTAATTATCTAATTGCAAAAATGAGTGTTACTAAAACGAAGACGCTAAAATTCTTACGGCATAAACACCCTAATCGATAATGGCGACGTCTGTTACATTATAACTTCATAGGTTTCATTTTGCCAAAACATTAAACAAAGTCTCAATACAAAAATGCCTGCAATATTTTGCCTACAAATATCCTTCAGTGAGCAACGAGTGCAGTGAACTGTGTCAAGCCCTCAAAGGATAACCGCCGAAAAATTGTCAACGACCCCATATTTTCAAAACAATATTTTGTCATAAATTGTCAATAATATATATTTTTTCAGCAATTGAAGATAATTAAGTACAGAATTAGCTATTCTGAATCCAAATCTGGATCTAATCGGAATCTGTCATAGTAGTACTATTTTCAAATTAACATATATGTTTAGCGCTATTAACATATACTGTATGTCAATTAGCGCTATTATTATTATTTTTACGTCATATATTATTATGTCATATATAAATTTTTGTATCTCAATTACAGATAATTCCCGCTTATTATTGTTAATGGCATGATTTCCTTTCAGTTTTGGATGTTGGGATGTTTTTTCGTGCAAATGAATAGCCAGAGAGGAACCGCGTCATAACAGCAATCCTGGACTGCGGAGGTAAGCTGAAGTTATGACGGATAAATTAAACATGTAATATTATTGAGGAATATAAAAAAACCATAGTGAGAAATCTTTAAAAAATAAAGAAATTCATTGGTCCCAGTTATAAAGAAGTTAGGCACTACTAAGACAAATATGGAGACAAATTGGAGACAGCAGTTGGAAAATAACAATTAAATCAATTGAAAATGATTGCTTCAAGAGGAAGAATAGCGAGCTAAATTTTTGATTACCGCATTTAATTTAGTTGAAACGTATAATAAAATGAATATAATGAACAGAGGGGTAAATCTCCATTTATTTCAAATGCCTCACTTACCCTTGTTTTAATTGTTTTGAATTACTTAATACACCGTAGGTTGTTAGAAAATTTCATTAGGCTGAATCACAATTCATTTTATCACTCAACATGCACTGCAATGTCACCGCACAGTATACACAACTACACTGCAATGTCACCGCACAGTATACACAACTGCACTGCAATGTCACCGCACAGTATACACAACTGCACTGCAGTGTCACCGCACAGTATACACAACTGCACCTCAATGTCACCGCACAGTATACACAACTGCACTGCAATGTCACCGCACAGTATACTTTATTCAATACTCTGTTTGTTAAAGGGAGGTATTGAGATAAGAGTATTCAGGCAGTTCGTCCACAACTAGATAACAAACAGTGAAGAACGAATGCATAACAAATGATGGTGGAATACAACTTGGCTTGAGGTGTGAAAAGTACCTAAAATTACGCCTGATTAACCGTGTAAATTCGATAATTCAATCCCTTAATATAATAATAGTTTAAAATTATTTCAATAATTTAATAATTATTTAAAGTAAAAATTTACTCGTGTAATTAAATTCTTACTTTAGTGAGAGAGAATCTTAAACAGACGCCGTTATACACTGAACGGTGTTTTTTAAGCGTCACTACGTTGCCCTAATCGACTATGTGAATAAAATCATAGGATTTGTTCGCAACATTGTAAATTTATATATTATATATTTTGTGGAGTGCTAATTATCCCACGAGATGACTTCAAAAAGTATTCGAATGTTAGTCATCAGTAAAATAACTAGATGCTCAGTAGCAAAACATATCATCAAATACTTAATTGATTTGATGATATCACTGTTCGCGACATTAAAAAGGAAACATACTGTATTTCAAGAAAATACCAAAGTAAAGTTGAACATGATGTATTAATGAATGAATGAACTTGTTTGATGTGTTAATGAATGAATGAATGAATGAATCAAATGATGTGTCAATGAATCAAATAAAAAAATTCTAGCAGCAATTTGCGCGAATACTTCGTTTATAAACAGCATGTAAGTCCGAGAACTGTTCGTTATTGTTGTTAGTCACGTCGATTAATGACGGGGCATCCACGTTTAGGGCAGAATATTTTGAGGTAGCGTAAAGTTTAGGGTAGAATTACACTTCTACACTAGAATTTAGGGTAGAAGTACATACACGCAGGAAAGCAAACTACATAATCAAGCTCTGTACATAGTATAATGTTGACTTTCAAGCTGTATTTACAGTGTCCGAATTTAGTTGTTGTGTTCATCGCCCGACATTCATGGAGTTCTGTAGATTCTCGAATCACAGTCAGGTTGCCCCAGGAAATTGCTCTCGAATACCTGAACGTTTCTAAGCGAGCGGAAATGATCAGGAATGGTTCAAGGCTTGCAAGGAATATAGAAATATTTATTTAGTCCCTCTTAATGAATATTATTTATTCTTGGTATAAATTATGGCATTATTTATGGCACGCGCAAAACGGTATTACATGTAGCGAATACTTTATTAAAGCATCATTTTATAAATCTTATTATAAACCTTACATAATGAAGAAATATATTGATTGAAAGGAAGACAGATTTATTAATGCGCCAAACGCAGTATTAGCAACATGGAATTGAATATTTATTCAACTTTTAACATGTTTTTCCCTATAACTTTTTTAAGTTGATTCCCAAAATATATAATATATAATAATCCCAATATAATCAAATAATCTATTCATCCGTTTGATATCATCTAATTGATTTAGAATTTATTTTCAATTTGTGATAGATAGGGGAGTATATCTTTAATTAAGGTTAATTTTAAATAGAAAATTCAACCTTAATTTTTTTAAAATATCAGAGTTATTAGGTATTGTATTCTAATTTATCAAAAGCCTTCTTCATAAACATCATAAATTCCTGTTTATGACTTCTTGAAAATCGTGAAACAAATGTGTTTTATTTTTCAAATCGTAACATCTTTATTAGCATTTTTTGGCGATTTGTGTTATCAGAATAAATTTCTATATTTATCCAAAGATAGTTTGCGAAATACTGGGGTACCCTAATACCTTTATAAATTAGTAAATTTTTGTGTAAGAGATGACCATCAAAATATGCACTCACTTGATTAAAATTCCGCTGTAGGAAAAAGCTTAATGTAAGTTAAATCAGAGGAAGAGTTAAATAATTAAAAGTTAGTGTGATTTTAATATTAAGTATTGACGCTCTATGTACAAGATCTTAGCCAGAGTTTCCAGAAAAATTGGCGCAAAGTTAAACTGAAGATTAATCAATCCCGAACAATTCTGTTAAGAAAGTGCAGAGAAAATTCCCACCAATTTTATAAGAACCTTGATTAAATTTGCTCCTCATTTGTCTGTGCTGGAAGATGTCGGCGAAATTTCCTACACAACTCAAGCTAGCGTCTTACTTGAGAACCCAGTAAATTTTCTCCGTTCAATTAGGCACTCGTGTTCGCGAAAATCTCGTTTTTCACAAAGGACCAAAATTTTATATAAAATTCATTTTGTTTTGGGCTCAATTGCGACCCCGTCTTGTGAACAGGCAAGGTAGGTGAACAACTCAGAGATTTTCTTTTGAAAGTTCATCTTCCCTCAGGAGTTTTCTTTTCTTCTGAGTATTTTTGTACAGATCGAGGACCATTTTTATCATCGGAGCAAAAGGAGCAGATGGGTTGTTCTTTACGATACGACCGATCGGCCTATCACATAGGTGTAAATTCCGCCTTCGGGAAGGGACATTTCCTTCACATTTCCGGACAAGTGGAGGGATAAAATTCTTACGGCTTCAATAGCTCCTTGTGAGAGAGCTTCAAGTGTCGCTGTAAGAAAGTGAATGAAGCTGTTTTCCCATTACCGGTCCTCAATTTCTTCAGCATTTTACGTAGGCATCCAAAAATCTAGCGGTTATTAAGGGATGTTTACAATAGCATATACATTTAGCATTAGCCTTTTAATATTAATGCCTACTTTAGTCTTCTTTCTTTGGCCCACAAATGGCCATGGCAAAATGTCGTATACGTAATTGAAAGACCGCAAATAAATACCTGAGGTAATGTATCAATGCGGATTCACGCGATTGTTCTCTGAATGATTTGTTACTGCGTGCACATCATTGCATGTATGAGTGAAAGATTTTTTTGTACTGTTTAACCGAGCATTTTGCACTTAGTATCTTCATGTGCTACTCATGAAACTAAATGCGTGATAATCAGTTACTGTGTGCGTTAAGCATAATTATTCACTGTACAGCGCAGTAACGATTATGAATAGCAATATGTTGAGTTTCACGTGTTTATGTCTGCAGCTGCTGCTGCCGATTCTCGCGTTCTGTGTCACCATTTTTCTCACATGCCCTTGATAAAACTGGAACGTCTACAACCCGATTGTATCCAAAAAATGATGTAAAAAGATCAGAAAATATATAAATTCGTTAGTATCCCAAACAAATCTTATTAAGCAAACAACATTGACATTTTTCGGCATTCGCTGATTGAAAATCATTCAATAATAAAAGCAGAAGTCTTTCATCAGCAATCCTTTGTTCGTCAAAAAAGCAAAAAAAAAAAAAACAGAAGTCATTCATCTGCAGTCTTTTGTTCGTCTTGCCTTACATAATCAAGTAAACCACATCTAATAAATCAAGCATAACA